AAAATTATCAAGCTTTTTGGGGGTAAAAATGGTCATTCTCACTAATTGAGTGCCCTATGACCTCTAATATGATTGTCCGGGGTCCTCATGTGGTTGGGTGCTTTCACACACCTCCATAACTGTGGGATTTTTTTCCACAGGTGAAGGCCCCCATATGTCAGAAGGCTTTGGACAAAACTTTTCTTATCTTCCCCTCAGACCAGGCTTGGCTGTCACCATACAGGCATTGATCACTGATAGCTGGTGCTTGTGTGATATACCTCTCTAGAATAAAGTTGGTATCTGCAACTGGTGTGAAATTCTCCAGCTCAGGAGGTTGCAACCTGGGAAGTTGCTGTCTTGGATTTTCTCTGGATTCCGAGTTTTGAGTCACCAACAACCTTACCCCCATTCAAAAAACAAATTAAAGAAAAACAGAGCATTTAGGAAAATGATTATGCAAAACAAACACTATTTTACAACTTTCCTTCTAACATCAGAGCCCAAATACATTTTCAGGGTCACAAACCCTGCTCTGAATTGCGATCTCCTGCGCTTGAAACAAGTTGCAGATTCTCTTAATATTCCTCCAGAGTTTGCGATATGGTCACGGAGCCATCATTAGAGGTAAGATCGTTGCAGGCAACTTCGGCCAGCATGCCAGCGACCTTCTCTGGTGTGAGAAGATTAGTGAAAGCGTCATTGACGTTGATGCAGTCTCGGTAAACTCCAGGGCCATGTTGCCCCCCCTGGAATTCTGTAGCATATCATATCATCATAGAAATCTTGGTCAGATTAGCCTTGTGCACATGAGGAACGAGAGAATGACTGTAATGTGTTCAAGGTAGCGCGCGTGCTTCAACGCCTGCCAATTTCCAATAATCAAACATTGCATATTTGAATTGTTTCTTTTTCAACAGTGTGCTGCCTTGACATCCTATGATTATAATTATATAATAATATTATTGATTACGCAAAATATTATCAATGAAATCTTGTAATTACCTAGCAATGATCAGCTCCGCGTTTTGATTTCAAATTAAAATATTTATATAATAAAATATATATCAATACAAGTAAAAAATAGTACCTCTGGTTAGTTATTAACACGTTTTCTTTAGGAGACCCATGCCAATCATGCTAAATAACAACGTTCACGTTTTTGTCACCTTGGACTGTCAAAAAATAAATTGTTTTTCCAAAAAAAAAAAAAAAAATCAATTCGCGTCTGTCCTACCAAAAAAAAAAACCAATAGGATAAATAATTACAATCAATGGGCGTCCTCAAAAATTCAACTTTTTTTTAATCTGATTAGATTAAGATTTGTTTTGATTTGATTAAGATTAAATAAATAAATCTATCCTCAGAAATTAAAAAATTAAACTTTTTTATTTTGTATAACCTTGGTAATGAATAATAAAGAAAAAATCCATTTACTTTTATTGTGTACTTCCTTGCTTGAACATCGTTATAAAAATGATACAAAGTAGCCAAATATGCAGAAGCATTCAACCAAAAAGGTACATTTGGTTTAGATCCTGAACCACAAGTTGTTTTTAATTTTTCAAGCTCTTTATTATTTTCAAGAAAAGTAAGTAGTGCTTTAGTGCCTGAATCATTCCATTGGACACGTTTATAAGTCTTTTGTTGTTGTTGAATTTGTGGATTTTGTGATTCTAAAATGCAATTAATATCCATTTTTTCATTTAAAAAACACGCGTTTATTTATTTATTTTATTTTTTTTTTTTTTAATCTTTTTTATATTGGTGGAAAGAATCGAAATGAGAATAAATTCTACTCGGGAGGAAGATTTATTTTTAATAGTATGGTTGGCTCGGTCTAAAGACCTCCTATTGCTGCGCCATGTGGCCAAATTTCAAAAAATAGCAATTTTGTAATTCATTCAAAAATGTAATAAAATTTTTTAAAATTTTTCAAAAAATATGACTTCGCGTGATTTTAGTTTAAAAAATATTTCTTACTGCCAAATTTAGATACGATGGTCAAGATCTAGTCTAAATTTAGTAATAATTTTCCTAAATTTAGAAATGATCACAGTGGACAAATTCCCGCGAGCATAGTAAAGTACATGTTTTAAAAAAGAATAGAACTCTACAACAAAGAATTTTTTTGAGAATATCTCGTTATTACATTAAAACTAAAGACCTATTCTATCAACTAATAATGCTATTTTTTTAAAATGTAGGACAGAAAATGACTTCTATACTTTTAAAATTTGCTCAAAATTTAGGAGGTCTTTAGACCGAGCCAACTATAGCATATAGTTTTCATCTCTCCCTCTAAGTTGGAGATCCAATTGAGATGCATTTAAAGTCCAGTTTATCGCCTACTTTTTTATTACAAGAACATTCACTGTAACTTATGTTTTGTTGGTTATGTTGGTCTTTTTTTGATGATCTGTGACTAATTTCCACTATGCTACTCTATTTTTATGGAAGGTTGTTTTTGCTAGAAAAAGGTCCCATATAATTTTAATGAGAATTGAACACTTTCACTCTATATAGTGAACAAAATCATATGTTTTTTTTCTATAATATTGAATCTGAATCAAGACAGTAATTATTTTATTTATTTATAAAAATAGTGTATATGGGGCATGCTGCAACAAAACCAGACAAAAGTGAACATTGGTATAACCAAGAATTTCAGGGATCAAAATTTAGTCATTTGTAATGTGATCATAATTAATATCCCATTTGTTATCTTAAGTGATATATAGAACTATCCCCCTATATAAAAATAGTAATATGAAATTAATTTACATTAGGTCTACTATGGAACCCAAGAATTACAGCACCATTAGAATTATTTTAAAAAAGGAACAAGGTGAAAAAATTGCACCCTATATTTTCAAAATAAATGATACTCAGACACTTGAAGCTTATCTAAGAAAAGAAAGGATTACTTATTAAATTTACCAAGAAGAAAGAAAAATCATAAATGTTAAAAAAAGAAAGCAGAGTGAAGGTATGCTATCATCTAACAAAAAGCAGAAATTCTTAGAAGGAAAATAATCTCATTGTTGCAATATTGATTTATATTTTTTACTATATACAAAGAAGATTATAATATTGCATTGCTTATCAGTAAAAAAAAAAGTTTGAACAAATTTTACATTCAAGAATATAAATCTTTGTTTTTTCTCATTGATATTGAAATGAAATAAATAATCCTGCTTTGTATTGAAATGTTATAAAAGTATCACCAGTCCAATTATTTTCAGATAAAAAAAAATTAAATAATAATCATTAAACACAATTTTATTTTAGTTTAAAAACAATCAAATAATCAATAAATATTTACACAATATTTTCATCTGTAATAAAATTTTAAAAAATGCACACTTTCAATAGTGAATTTTTTTGCAGATTGTTAATTGGGCTTTTTCTTGGTTTCTTGTTTCACTATAAAACTTATCAAAATTAGTTCTCTATTATAAATCAAAAAATTGATCAAATCAATAGAATAGAACCAAGAAAGAGACATAAAACAAACAAACCTACTAGTGATAAAAAGAAATAGAAAATTTATGGAGGGTTTCAAACAATTATTTAACAAAAAGACAGAACCAAATCCAAATTTTTCATTCAGTAAAATGATCATTGAAATTTGTGAATACTTGCAGAGGAAAAAGGTGTTGCTTCCACAATAAAAAATTTTTACCAACAGAAAACAAATCCTAAAAGGAAAACGATAGAAGCAATTCAGAAGTGGGTTGAGAAAGAGAAGAAGAAAGTGGTGGAGAGGGAAGATGAAGAAGATAATAAAAACAGTGAAAATATAAATATTAGTAATAACAATATTATTAATAATAATAAAAAGAATGGCAGTAGTAATAGTGAAAGTTAGATTTTTGTCAGTGCCCAAAGAATAAGTAATACTTATAAATAGCTTTGGGTCTGTTGTATGTAAAAATGAAAAAATGAAATTATGTGAATATGTGAAATTCAAATTAGCCAATCAGAATTTCACCCTACTCCATAATATTTCAATTTCACATACAACAGGTCCAAGCATTTCCTCCCATGCAAGTGCTCTGACAATTTTTTTAACTTATATTTTTATGTATTTTTCTATTATTAGTTCAATTAAAATAAAAAATAATTTTCTTTTGTCCTTTTTTAATTCATTGTCCATAAAAAAATTTTTTTAATTCCAAGTCATGTGTCCACTAATTTATCATTGGTCGAAATTTTGCATAGAAACAATTAATTGTAACAATTATGATATTAAGGATACCGGCTGCAACTTTTGATGATGGTTGCTACCATCTTTGCGTCATATAAAAATGATTGCAACCGCTGGTTGCAACCACCTTTACGACCATTTTGTTTCCTTTTTTGGATTGCGACATGGAACACTATATGATATACATGTAAAATCAAAATTTTTTTTAAAAATGGCAACAAAACAAGAATTAGAAATAGCAAGAGGGGAGTATTAAGAGGCGAAAAAGAAGCTGGAGAAGTGGAAAGAGGGGAAAAAACAGGAGAGGTTAGACAAGTTGGATAATAAATTGGCAGATGGTGAATGGAGGAATGAAAACCAGAAGAAGGGTTGGGAAGAGCAGAGGGATGAGTTGAAGGAAGAAAAGAAGAAATTAGAAAAAGAAAAAGACTTTTGGAGGGGACAAATAGAAGAGTGGGGGAAGGAATTAAGAAAATTTGGTGAAGGTAATGAACAAATTGCGTAAAAAAAAAATATATATATTATTATTTTTCATTCATTCCATTTTGTTTATTATTTATTTGTCTGTGGAATATTTAACCCACTATTTCCAATTATAACTAAATTTGTCATCTGTTTCATTCTTTATTTATCTTTTTATATCATTTATTCTCTTTACATTTGTTCACCATTACTATTTCCTTTACACCATTGAATAACTTTTACAGGAAAAAGAAAACAGTCATTTTCTTTTGATGATGCAAATGAAAGGAAAGAGACTCAAGCAAGCAGGTATGTAATATTATTAGCATATTCTTATATAGAATTGAAATATTCATACATTCCATTAATCTTGTAAAATATCAGAAATTTTATTTATTGATTTTTCATTTTTTAGAGCTAGCAAGTGAAAGAATGATTGAATTTTGAAAAGCTGCTTTATCATCAATAATTAATCCAGATGATAAGTTTATTTCCTTTCCAGATGGTGTGAATATCTTTGGTAGTAAAGGTTTTGGATCTGCTTTTATAATTCGTGAATGTTATAAAGATTTGTGGAAATTGATCACTGAAGATAAAAAGTATAATGGTTGGATTGTCACTGGAAATCAGCCTTACTGAAAGTTCAGAATATATTGGAACAAGTTTAAGAACCTTAGAAAGATTTACTTGACCTAACAATGGTTGAGTAAGTTATCCAAAAATGAATGGAATTGAAATTGGAAGAGTTGTTTTCAGTGATGGATTCACTTCTGAAAATATTAAATATTGTTAAAAGTTTTGTTAGTGAAGCATTAAATTATGAAGAAGCTTTTGGTTTTACTTGCTCACTCTAACATATGTTCATATAACAAATCGTCTATTTTTTTAAAGCTTTTTTCTGTATCTGATTTAAGATGAGCTAGACGTATCATTATTTTCACATATATATAAAGGTTTGAGGTTAGCCCGTATGATTTTCCTGTAATGATTAAAACTTGAGAATGTTTTATTTTTTTTTTTTCGTGATGAACTCGAATCAATCACATCTTCGTTCGTAAAGAATGTTAAGACCAATAATAAAACAATAGGGGGCTGTAGTGTGTGTAGGTTGCGGACAGCGGGTTCAAACAAATAATATTCTAGGAGTTTGTGGGATCGGATTTCTTAGTATCGACATTTTATACAACATGATACTTTGAATTATATTGCGGAGGACGTGTGCGTGTGTTATTAATAAACAATCGATTTGTGTGATTAGTTGATGTATTAATAAATAAAAAATTATCGGTATGTTGTTGGACTCTATTATGATGTTAACTAGGAATTTCGTGATAAAAAATAGCTCGGTCTCGTCCGAACCATGACAATACCACTGTCAGCCAATTGAGATGAGTAATTGAAATGGATTAAACAATTTGTAATGATAAATTAAATGTTTTCTTACTCCGATCTGTCTGAGCATGAGTAAACGACCCTATTCAAACCGTTTGTGTTTTGATATTTTTCTTATTTCTTTGTTCTTTGTTGTCGTTCAATTATTTTTATTTTTCGTTTTATTTTTTTTTATGTATGATAAAAAAACAAAATCTCCAAGATTTATCCATGACACACAGCATCACTTTATTATTATTATTACAGTCAGGTTTTAGAAACTACCTGCGGAAAGTTACTAATGTGCGACGTTACACCTCCACATATTTCTGCGGCGAAAAAAAGCAAAATCTGCAGCGGTCGTGCTCATTTCTACTCAAGTTCTGCCTGCGATTCTGCTCAATTCTGCTATAAAATCTTATTTTATTCGTATTAGATCCTCACAACTCATATAGGATTGGAAAAACATACAATACAATTTTGTCACGTAAAAGTTTGAATTATCACATTTTATGAATAATAAATGGTAACATTTTATTAGAAAGACTAATACTAATTTTAAAAATATCACACATACTATTAAATTAGTAGCAACTAACCATATTATAAGAAACATCACGCCCCTTAAAATTGCTTGACGTTCAATCCCTGTTAGCATAAAAGATCAAGCAATTAATATTAAACCAGTTTTTGAATTTCAACCATTTAAAGACTGGACTGCCGCTTTATCTAAAGAAATTATTGCAACAGAAAAACAAGAATTAAAAATTAATGAAATTAAATTCAAAATGTTGATTATTTGGAAAAAATATAGGTTTTGTTAAATTTAAGGTCAATACCAATGAGAATAATGGTAATACTGACAACAATCTTATACAAGAGGCAGGCGTATTTCTATTAGCAACTCATAATGGAAATTATGATCTTGGTGAAAATAATATACTTGGAAAATAATTACTAGTAAATTAGAATATATATATGAGGATGGAAGAATTAGAAAATCAGCCAATGGAAAATTGAATATTTACTAATAGATTGATTGGATCCATACATGATGGCGAAATAGTTTTGTTTCGACAATAATTTCGACGATTAGGGTTCAAACATTTCGAATATACCCTAA